GAACAATATAAAAATACTGTCTGTTTAAGTATATATGGCATACTTCTAGGGGAAAAAAAGAGCCCTGCTATTTTTAGACACACAAAAATTCCTACCTTGTGATGATGTACTTTGACTGTTACTGTCATTTTCCTGGATGTTGCTTTGTAGTCTTACTACAAATTCTGCAACAGATTTCCTGGGAGTATGGCAAAGTCATGAGTGAGTGTTTGAGACTATGATTTGTTTGAGTGACCATTAGAGTCCTTTTAGTGGTTAATCAATGATGAATTAATAAAAATAAAACCTTTAGATTAAGGTCTATAATGTGTACTAAAATCCTGTCAGTTGCTTTCAGTTAGGTCATTTTTATTATGTAATGGACAAAGACTCACCAAATTCCCAGAGACTCTATACTTGACTACATAGATTGCTTCACATTCCTTAGTAGACAGGTGTTTTGTTAGACATAACTATTTTAAAACATTTTTAAAAATCATTTTCTCCAGGATTGTGTCTGTGGTATGTGCTTGGCATATTCTCTGAACTAGGAGCTATCTTCTGTCAGTGTTACCTTGTGTTCAAAAGACAAAATAATCAAAGTCCTGTTATCCTTGTTCATGGAAAATGCTGGTAGAAAGAAAGTGGGGGATTCAAACTAAAATGCCACCAACATACAGATAACGTTTTTGTATCTTTTAAAATTACACCTTTAGGCCGGGAGCGGTGGCTCATGCCTGTAATCCCAGCACTTTGGGAGGCCAAGGCGGGTGGATCGAGACCATCCTGATCAACATGGTGAAACCCTGTCTCTACTAAAAATACAAAAAATTAGCTGGGCATCGTGGCACGTGCCTGTAATCCCAGCTACTCAGGAGGCTGAGGCAGGAGAATTGCCTGAACCCAGGAGGCGGAGGTTGCGGTGAGCCAAGATCATGCCATTGCACTCCGGCCTGGGTAATGAGCAAAACTCTGTCTCAAAAAAAAAAAAATTACACCTTTAATAGTCATTATCTTACTCCACCCATAATCACATTTAGATATTTACATCAATCAACTTAAACTAGATCAACATTATCTAATATAGCTTTCTGCAATGATGGACATATTTTATATCTGCATTATCTACCATGGGGGCCACCAACCACATGTGTATGACTACTGAACACAACAGAGGAAGTTTAGTTTTAATTAATTTCATTTTAAATTTATAGAGGAACATGTGGCTTATAGCTACCATATTAGATATCACAGGTCTAGGTGTCTGCATGGATGTTGTACCCTCTTTTCAATAATTTTGCAAATAAATGTGTCATGCTTGCTTGTATCATACAGATTTTAGTTTCTACTTCATGTGTTTTAAGTGGTTTTTGTCTGATCAAATTGTAATAAATTTTATATTATTTCCTACATTAAAGGTAGTCAACATATTCAGTGGTGACATCTAAAGATAAAAAATGATCATTTAGAGGGTAGAATCAACACACAAGAAAAGAATGAAAAGATATGCTTGTGTAGGAAAAATAAGCAATATCAAAGATTACATAAGTGCTTCCTTCATAGGTGTGCAAGATAAGAATTGTATAGACATATAGTGACCACTAAAGAATTCACATAAGTAGAATAATCTAATTTTAAAGATAGAAGGAATGCTGGAAATTTCTTAATCTGAATCTCTTTTAATGTGATATAGTGTTTGATAGCAATGATTCGATACCTGGATAGCTGGTATTTTGAAATCACATTTCATTAACAGTTTAACCTAAACCAAGTTACCATCTCTAAATGTTGGTTTCATCATCTGTAAGTCAATGACAACAATAAAGTATGCCTCTTAGATACACATAACTTTTTTATTCCTGAGGCACAGTGTAAGGGCAAGTGAGATAATATGTATGAAGTGTCTAGCACAGCACCTAACACATAGGGCACCATTTTGGTGACAGGAAAACTGAGGTATTAGGGTGATAAATTAGCTTTCTCGATTTGTAATTGTTTTGTAAGTGACTCAGCTGGGATTTGAAAGCAGGCATATGACTAAGCTGAGCCTCTATATGAGTGGTAGCAGCAAACAGAATAGCACCTGGCATGTGACAGACATCCAATAAACAAATGACAGTTCAAGAACATAAAACTCATTAGTAATCACAGGTGTTTAGTAAACAAAATGAGCAGTTCAAGAACAAAAACTTATTAGTAATCTGCAGATCATAAGGTCATGTCAGCTTATTCCCCATGTACGTTTTTACAGACATCACTTGTGGTTGCCAAACATGGGCTTAAGACAAGGAAAGATACTAGGTTAAAGCAGCAGCCTTTCAAAAAGTACAGTAATACAGGCTTTTCCGTTAAATCCATCTAGTATCTGTGAGATACTAGAAAGCTCAATCATAAGGCAGATTTAAAATGATACTAGAGGGTAATGAGTATCCATCTAGTATTTAAGTATTTACACAAAATGCTGTATTTAAAGTAATCTCTTTACAAGTTATTTTATCAAAAACTTTTCAGACACAATTTTTTGAGGATTTATACAAACTGTTTAACACCTAAGAAGTACCGCCATACCTTAGAGATACTGCTACTTTGGATTCAGACCACTGTGATCAAGCAAAAACCACAATAAAGCAAGTCACATGATTTTTTGTTTGTTTCCCAGTGCATATAAAAGTTATACAGCAGACTATTGAGTGTGTAATAGCATTATTTAAAAACGTTCAACCTTAACTTAAAAATATCTTATTGCGGGCTGGGCACGGTGGCTCAAGCCTGTATTCCCAGTACTTTGGGAGGCCGAGGCGGGTGGATCACGAGGTCAACAGATCGAGACCATCCTGGTCAACATGATAAAACCCCGTCTCTACTAAAAATACAAAAAATTAGCTGGGCGTGGTGGCGCGTGCCTGTAATCCCGGCTACTTGGGAGGCTGAGGCAGGAGAATTGCCTGAACCCAGGAGGCGGAGGTTGCGGTGAGCCGAGATCGCGCCATTGCACTCCAGCCTGGGTAACAAGAGCGAAACTCCGTCTCAAAAAAAAAAAAAAAAAATCTTATTGCATAAAAAATGCTAACGATCCTATGAGCCTTCAGTGAGTCCTTTTTTGCTGATGGAGGGTCTTGCTTGATGTTCACAGCCTTGCTATGAATTAGGCTTTGATTTAAGGGAGTATTTCAGCTGGTTTGATCTTCTGTCCAGACTCCTCAGATTTTCTGCATATCAGGAATAAGGCTGTTCTGCTCTCTTATCATTTGTGAGTTCACTGGAGTAGCAATTCTAATTTTCTTCAAGAACTTTTCTTTTACATTCGCAACTTGACTGTTCAGTGCCAGAGAACTGGATTTTGACATAACTCATCTTTGGGCATGACTTTCCTCAAAAGCTTAATTATTTCTAGCTTTTGAATTCAAGGAAGAGACAGGCAACTCTTCCTTTCACTTGAATGCTTAGAGGCCATTGCAGGGCTATCAATTGGCCTAATTTCAATAATGCTGTGTTTTAGGAAATAGGCTGAGGGGAGGGAGAGAGAGGTGGATGAACAGCTGGTCAGTGGAGTAGTCAGAATACACACGTTAACGGATTAAGTTTGGGTTGTGGTTTGTGGTACCCCAACACAATTATAACAGTAACATCAAAGATCACTGATCACAGATCATCATGTAAAATAATAATAAAAAATGTGAAATATTGCAAGAATTACCAAAATGTGACACGGAGATATAAAGTGAGCACATGCTGTTGGAAAAATGGCACCAAGAGACTTGCTCAATTCAAGGATGCCACAAAACTTCAATCTGTAAAAACACCTTATCTATGAAGTAAAATACAGTAAAGGGCAATAAAATGAGGTATACCTATGCAAGGCAAGTAGTCGATGATGGGAAAAAACATTGTATGATGTAGAAAGAACAAAGAGAATGTGTTTTCAAAATAGGCTAAAGTAAAAGCAGAATTAGAATTTCATTTGAATGTTTCATTATAGTTTTGAGACATTTAAAATTATGTACTGATTTATTTTATAAATTATTGTGGAGCATCTCCTATATATCCAGTCTCAGATTTATTTTGGTGATTATACTCTGAAACATGATTCTTCTCCCCTTGAGATTAAAAAAATATATTTGTACCATTCTTTGGGGTGTGACTAATCTGAATCTGACACTTGAATATTACTTTGGGATCTTGGGCAAATTATTTAAGAATAAAAATAACTTAACCTATGTTTCCTCAACTGTAAAATAATAATTTTAATAATCTTTCTTAAACTTATTGTAAGGATTAAATACTTTTCAATAGTACTTAGTGTGATGCTTAGCATATATTAAAAGCTCAGTGGATAATAGTGACAATTTCAGTAAAGAAAGACCAAATAATTTTTGTCAAAAAGAAATATGAATATATGAATTATGTAGGTTTTAAGTTGTATTTAAAATATTTAATGTGACAGTAAAAAAGTTGTGGAAAAATGTAACCTAATAAATAAGTTCCTTCCATTTTCTAATGTCCTAAACCCCTTATCCTAGATTAACTTTGCTCCAAACTTATACCAATAATTTACAACACTGACTCTAGTTTTTTGGAGAGAAAAAAAAATAAATAAATAGAAACACTGTTCTTTTTTTCTTCCTTATCTACTCTAGCTTCTTTAAAAAACAGCTTTAATCTTTTGTTGGGCCAAGGGAAAAAAATTCCATTGCTTTCTGAAGGTTTGCTAAACAATTACTGACAAGAGGCAGATCCATAGGAGAAAAGGCATACAAATTTATTTGATCATAATTTTACCCAATATGAGAGCCTTTGGAAAAAGACCCAAAGTTACAAAACAAATTATCTATTTTTATGCTTAGGTTCAACAAAGTGTGGGCAGGTGTGGAGAAATACAACTGGTCAAAAGGAGTATGACTTCATGCTAACAGACTGAGCGGGGACACCTAGGAAGATGAGAGTCTTCCTGATACCTCTCTGCAACATTCATTCCTTCTGGGTACGGGGCAGAACCCTCTCTGGAATGGGCTCTTGGAGTCATGATCAAACAAGGTAGGTCAGATAACGTCTTTATGGCCAGATTTCAAACAGAAAGTTAAGGTGTTAGAGTAATATGTTTAGGTTTTACGGCTGGTTTGGGAAAAAGGGTTCTGGTTTCTAGGAGCCACCATGGGAAAGACGAATTCTAGTTTCTATGGCTCGTCTTGAGGGAGAATGAAGGGCCCGAGACTGGAGGGCAGGAGAAGATCAGACAGGTCTGCTTCTGAGGCCGTCATTTGGGGTATCGTTTTCTGAGCCCCTACACCCTAATAAAGTACAAGAAATGCAGTGGAGCAATTCAGGGTCACAGTCAGGCAATACACAGAACCGAGGTTTTCCAAAAAGTCTAATGAACAGTGAAAGAAAGTAAAATGGATTCTGGGGACACCAGAGAGAGGCTGACAAATGATTTTTAAGTCAGGAGGAAATGATAAAAGAGAAAGATTAGCAACAGAAAAGGGTAATATAAATAGAATTATCTTAATCTCTAGCATCTCTAGATATCCCACAACCTCAGAGACTTATCAGGCAGGTTGTTTTTCCCCGAAAGTGGGGGTAGGGGAGCTCGAGGAGGACGAATGAAGGCGGTATGTGGAGGAAAGGCTGTTCCGTGGATGTCTTGAATTCTGCCCCACAATCACTTCTGTAGAGCTACAAGCTGCGCCTGTCATTCCCATATTCGGCCCACTTTCCCTTCCTCTGTGGCCAGGGGCATCGTTTCCTACTAATATCCATCCGAGAGAGACACAGGGGCAGGTATCCCTCAGCATCCATCAGAAACAAAGCGCAAATCTGGTGGCGGAGGAGAGCCCGGAGCTGCTGAACCCTGAGCCCAGAAGACTGAGCCCAGAGTCGAGGCTGCTGCCCTATGTGATCAGGCTGGGCGACGCCGTGCACAGCTTCGCCGCTGGGCTGGCTGCGGCGCCGCCTTCGCGTCCTCTTGGAAGACCGGGTTGGCCACCTCGCTGGCCGTGTTCTGCCACGAGTTGCCTCACGGGCTGGGGAACTTCGCGGCCTTGCTGCACGCGGGGCTGTCCATGCGCCAAGCGCTGCTGCTGAACCTGGCCTTCACGCTCACGGCCTTCGCTAGTCTCTATGTGGCACTCGGCGATCGGAGTCGGCGAGGAGAGCGAGGCCTGGAGCAATTCAGGGTCACAGTGGAGCAGTGGAGGTCACAGTGGAGGAGGCCTGGATCCTGGCGGTTGCCATGGGCCTGTTCCTCTACCTGGGGCTCTGCGACAGGCTCCCGGTCATGTTGAAAGTGCGGGACCCGCGGTAATGGCTCTTCTTCCTGCTGTACAACGTGGGCCTGCTGGGCGGCTGGACTGTCCTGCTGCTGCTGTCCCTGTACGAGGATGACATCACCCTCTGATACCCTGCTCTAGTCCCCGGCCTTTGACTCAAGACTCTACACCCAAACATACAGCCCAGAAACCAGAAGCCCCTATAGAGTTTCCAGTTCCAACTCCAATAAAAACACTCATCCTTGATGGTGGGTGGGGGGGAGGGGGAGGGGGAAGAAAGAGAAATAAAGCAAGCTCTTCCTTAAAGTTACCAGAGCATCCATCTCGGGGTGCAAAGACAAATTCTCTGAATCAATTGAGGGGTCTGGGCAATGATCTCACAAAGATTTGACACCTAGGAGTCCCCTCCCCTGGATACAAGCTCTTCATCCTTTCACTTAGACTTTGGGAAACTGTCGTGTGCAGGTGGATGAAGCTGGAAAAGACAGGCTCATGAGTTCAAACAGCTTGAGGGATTTCCAGTGGAAGTCTGTCCTGCATGCATATGTACACACCAACACGTGTGGATATGTGCTGTGCCCACATGTGTGCCTGTACAAGACACATGGTCAGGGACAGGCAGTGGACAATGACTATTTCTTGGAATTTCTCTTAAAAAGTCAGATTAATCAGACAAGTTTATTTTGTATGCTTTTGGTAAATGTACGGCATTTTGGGAGTTTACCATAGTTTGTGAAAAAAAAAATTGCCTGCTCTGAGCCCATGGGGCAGGGGCAATTTTTTAATCTGACAATCTGCGTGCTTTTGTTTTGCTTGCTGAAATTTGCCCCACAATACCACACCCTTTTCCCTTTTCTTACCTAACCTCTTTCTACCTGGGCAGGACTTCCCTGGGCTCTCCTCCCTGGCCCCCCTCCCTCCTCTACCAGGTCTCTTAACCCCTAGGGAAACTGTCGGTGTTTTGAATCCCTCGAGTGCTCTAGCGGAGAAACTAAACAGATTAAGAGCTGGGGCACATTTGGTTGAGCGACAGCTCTTCGCTTTCTTCTTATGCTGCTTCCCCTTCCTCTTTTCCCAAACAGATATATAAACACATGTATTTTCCTGTTTAAACTGAGCGAATTGGTCCTCTGCCTGTGCCTTGATTTAGCTATTGGGCTCAGCCTTGCTCCTCCCTTCCTTACTCGGATAGGAGCCACTGGGATCTGGAGCTCCAGCTTCCAAATTGAAGCTGGCCTCAGGCCAGGTGACCTTTTCTTTGTAAGTTTCTTTCCTAAGCGTAGGGTTGGGGGGAGGCGGGGAAGGGGGGGGTGGGATCTGTTTGGTGGTGTTGAAGGGGGGACGAGTGAGGAAAGGAGGGGGCTGGAAGAGAGTAAAGGGCTGTTGTTAAACAGTTTCTTACCGTAAGAGGGAGTTCAGACCTAGATCTTTCCAGTTAATCACACAACAAACTTAGCTCATCGCAATAAAAAGCAGCTCAGAGCCGACTGGCTCTTTTAGGCACTGACTCCGGACAGGATTCTTTCACCCAGGCATCTCCTCCAGTGGGATCCGCCAGCCGGTCCAGCAGCACCATGTGGGTGACCAAACTCCTGCCAGCCCTGCTGCTGCAGCATGTCCTCCTGCATCTCCTCCTGCTCCCCATCGCCATCCCCTATGCAGGTTAGTTTCCTTCTTCTTCATAATTATTATTAGTATTTAACTCTCTGGCTAACCTTCCCTATTTCTTTTAACACCCTCTTTTTACCCTATTCGCAGCATCCTTTCTGAACTCAGTATGTAGCATAGGTTTCTAAAAGCTCTCATTATGCTTTCTTTTGACATTCTTTTTTGTTTGTTTGTTTGTTTGAATAGCATTTAAAATGATAATTAACATTCCCTCAACTCCCCTCCACCTCCAACCCAAGTCCCGTCCCATTTAGCCTAATAATTATGGATTATGGGATAGTAAAGAAGTGCTAATACTGGCTGAACTTGGCTGCTTTGGACAAGTTTAAAGCTAAAGAGAGGGTCTGGTCTGAAGAGGGGAGAGTGATGGTCAGTCCAGCAGGAAGTCATCTTTTTCCAGAGGACAATTTTTCATGATAATCCACTACTCCACATCACCTAGACAACATTCGGAGCCAAATTATGACTTTGTACAGGTTTTCATTTTGAGGAGGCAGAATAAACTCTGAGTATTTGCATATCATAAAAATGAAAGAGAAAGCCTCTGTTTAAAGATCTTATTCTTTCTGGGTGTGGATGCCTGCCCTTTTGAAACTGCAGTGCACGGAGACTTTGACTAAGGCTGCAGAACTGCCCCTCTCCATCTCCCACTTTCTCCCTTGGATTTGCCGGTTGGGGAGGAGTTTCTTGTAAGTTCATATTGCCTGGAAGTTTAGAGACCACATTTGCTGCTTTGGGAAGTTTCCCTTGTTATCAGGACAAGAGGAAACATCTGTATTTGGTTGTATTATCATTGTAGTGGCTGGGGTGCCAACGGGAGAAGGCAGTGAATATCAAGGGTGGGCACAGGGGAATAAAAGAATGGAACAAATGTCCAGATGGAGACATGGCCTTTTTAGAATATCAAAAAGAGAACTGGCTGTATCTTTCGAGATGTTACATGTGAAATTTATCAGACCTCTGATCTAGTTTCTGATAGGATACAAGGGTTAAAAACCTCAATAATTTGCTAAATGAAAAGGAAAATCATTCAACCCACCTGGTTTTCTTTTATTTTGTGAAGTGGCCCTTTTGGAAAATGACACTGTTTCGAAAAGGGTCACTTTGAAAGCATTTAGGTAAGATTTCCGAAGCACTGAAAAAGAAGTGAGTTCAAATCAAGCAGGTTATTGTGCTTGAGATGTGTCATGTTAAAACTGCCTCACAGGGCAGGATGTGGTGGCTCAGGCCTGTAATCCCAGCACTTTGGGAGGCTGAGGCGGGTGGATCATGAGGTCAGGAGATCAAGACCATCCTGGCTAAGATGGTGAAATCCCGTCTTTACTAAAAATATGAAAAATTAGCCAGCATGGTGGCATGTAATCCCAGCTACTCACTTGGGAGGCTGAGGCAGGAGAATCGCTTGAACCCAGTAGGTGGAGGTTGCAGTGAGCTGAGATCGGACCACTGCACTCCAGCCTGGGCAACAGAGCTAGACTGTCTCAAAAAAAAAATTGCTTCACAGAAGACTGCTGTTTTAGGGGATTTTGAGCATAAATTGAACTAATGACTAATATCTTGAGGGTTTTCATTTTCAAAGATTAAAATGTCACTGTTCTGAAGAAAAATCTGGTTACCTGAATTCATCTGTGCTAATGCAAGGGGAACGCAGTGTGGAAAACCCAAACAGTAGATCAACCATAGCCAGTGTCTATTTGTTTTTGGCATGCATTATGAACTTTTGGCAGGAGACATACATTTGTAATTATATTTCACTTTGCCTAATGTAGAAATGACTGTGTTTCCTGAGTACAGGCAGAATGCAGCCCAAGAGTGCTGGCAGGCAAGGAGAGTCCAGTTGGGAATTACAAATATGCTGTGAATAATTCCTGAAGTGGATAATTCTAAAATTGTCATCAAAGGAGGGTCCACCTTTGTTTAGGTGGCCAGTTTATTTTGATAGTGTTTTTTTAATTACCTCTAAAATGAAAAATACGGTTAGTTTTTTAGAACACATATAATTTGTTCTTTTTTAAATGTCATTTAATATTGACTATTTAAAGGTTTCTTTTGTTGTTGTTACTAGCTTTGGTTATAATTTTTTATTTATTCTATGAATTTGTCCATATTGTAAAATAAAACATTGTTAGAAAAGAAGTATGTACTATAAAAAGCTGACAACCACCTATGAATGGAATACTTTACGGAGAGACTTTTTAAAAAATCTTCTTAAGAAATATCCAACATAATGGGCCCAAGTCATGTTTGTAGAAGTTAGTCTATATAGAATTACCCTCTATTAACTCCCAGCTACACTGGAAACAAATATCTAGTCCTCGGTAACAAAAGAAGCATTAAGTGAGCACCTAATGTTCAGGAGTATGTGGGGGATATAAAGATGAACAGATGAGAAAGGAACTTACATTTGTTGAGCATGAACCAAGTACATCTTAGTTAATTCTAATAAGATTGACACTACTGGACTCATTTTGCCTGAGGAAACTGAGGCTCAAAGACCTGTTATCTTATTTCTTTGTGAGTTAAGGGATGGAGCTGAGATTCCTACCCAAATCTATGTGAATGAACTATGTGGTGTTTTTGTTTTTTTCCTCTTTCATTTATACTGAAGTCGACAACAGTGAAATCAACTGAAACTTGTTTTTAAAAATAATTTGGTTAAGAGATATATTTAAAGAACCCCTCTGTTAGAAATGCTTTGAACTATAGTTTGAGAGTTCATTTCTAGCAAACCAGGTTAAAGGGTCATAGTACTAAAGTCAATATGAAAAGATGGATGGTAGAAAAGTCAGTACCTGAGCAGAGGAACGTAGGTGGCCCAAAGTATAGAGATTCATAAGTATAAGGAATGTCCCTGGAAGGACCCACCTCCCCTGCCCCAGCAACAGAAGGCAAGCATTTGAGGCAGAAGTACTGGGTGTGTGATGAGGAATACTGTCTGTGAGTGGAAAAGTAAGATGAGGTAGAATGGATAGGGTTCAATGTCATGCTCAACCATGTGGTCTTTCAAATGAATGTCATAGGAGCAGTTTTTTGTTGAAAAGATACTTGTGAAGTTGTACTTCAGTGTGGTTGCTTCAGTTCCTGCATGAAAGGAAAGTTTTAGGCAGAAACAGACAGTGAAGGTGGAGACCAGGATGAGGCTTCTAGAGAATGAAACTTTTAAACAAGAACTGGAAAGAAGGAAGAAAATACCTAAGGAGACTCCTCATATCACTCTGAACAGCACTTCCCTTTGTAAATCCCCTTGGAAGAGATGCTGCTGCTGCTTCTGAAATACCAGCATTTGATTTACATTTGACACAATCTCTGGTCTTCTTGGTATCTTTATTAGTGATATTGTTGCCTTCTTTAAAGAAGAAGAGATGATTGTCAACTTGCAAAATCCATGTCCTTGATAAGAGCAATAAAAATGTAGACTTCTATTTGAAATTGTGGCCTCTGGAGAGTTTACAATCTCCAGTCCCAACCATTCCCTTCCATTATTTGTGTACTTTCATCTTAACATCTTGCCACTTCAAACTGTTAATCACTAATCATGTGGATAGGTTTCTCAGAATATGTGGAGCCAGATTCCTGCTTCTTTCCACACCCTGCAAATCCTTTCCTTGCATGATTTTCCTTTGAAGTCAATGGTTAGTCCACAAAGAGAAGAAAATATATGAGGTACTGAGAGAAATGAGTGTGTGGTGCCGGACCAGGGGGAGAAATGTGTCTTTCTTCAAGCACCTTGATACATTTGACCCTACTTTTTTGTGTCTAGGTTTTCACTAGGATCCTAATGACTTCAGCTCTAAAATAGGGACTTCAGGTTTTTCAGGAAATATAGCTTCCAGAATGCTTTCCCCTACTGGGAGAAAAGGAAAAGGAGTTGTAATTTAAAGCACAGGAAAGCATGACAAATTTGTAGTGATCTCTCACCCTTTGATTTCATTTCAATATTTTGTTTATAAACTTCAACTAACAGTCACACACAAAAAATAGTAGGGAAAAATCTGATCCAAAGATATTTTTGAGTTTCTTCCCAAATTAAGCTTGGCTTTTAACTGTTTTCAGTAAAACAAGCATCAGTTGTTAATACATATGGAAGAGAATGTTGAAACTATTTTCAGCAAAGGAATTTTATTTTCAGATGCTGTTTTTGAATGACTTCTGTTTTGAATTTTTCTTTTATTGAATAAGGAATTAATTTTATAGATGTGTGGATTACATGATGTACAATTAGCTCCAACTGCATATTTTTGAGTAATTAGTTACTGGATTAGCAGAAATGACTTAAGTAAAAGGGAAAGTTTCTATGTCATGAGAACAAAATAGTGAGAAGAGAATTCCGGTGTCTGGTTCTGATTGCCCCTGATAGTTTTGTAGCCTCAGACAAGCTTTTCACTTCTATTTATTATCTAGTAAAGGGAAATAATAGATTTGGTTTGCAAAATGCTTTTTCATCTTTAGATGAACGGTAGTGATTGGAAAATTTGTCAGCAAGCAAGAGTAGACTATTTTTATGAGGTACAACAACACATTAACACATTTCAATAGGACAACTGAGGATCTGTAGAATTAAATACAATCAGGAATTCCACAGAGACCTCTGCTCTCCAGAATCGTCCTCACAGCTTGCCTTCATTTTGCATGCCATTGAGAAAAAAGCAGAACATTGACCAGAGATTTTGTTTCATTTGATGCATTAAAATACATTACACATTTAATGTTTGTCCTAGACTTTTTGAATTTATTTTTATGCTTTTCCCTCACACTTAGACATGTATATTAAATACATTATACATCAGAGCAATGTCAATTTTATATTTTTAGTCAATAGAATTCATTTGAGAAATATGTATATAAAATGCTTCTATTTTGGTGAACAGTTGTTTTCACAGATTTTTTTTCATCAATAACTATCATTTGTTTTTAAGAAACATTCAAATATATGTAGGAGATTATATAACTATTATGCTATGAAGCAGTTCAAAGCACCTTAGAAATAGTGTAATAAGGTCAAAGGAAGGAGAAACTCTTAATAGAAAATCTTATCACCTATTAACATGGTTTTGTAACAGGAACCAAAATCTGAAATGAATTATGCCTTCTTTGCTTGGAAGAATAAAAGTTTCTTCCTCATGCCAGAGATTAAAGGATAACATTTCAAAAACAAAACTAAAACTTTGTATAACTTAAAAAATCCAAATTGATTTTCAAATATTTACTTAATTGTTATAGTTTAAAGTTAACATAACTTTTATATTTTAGATTGAGAAATTGGGATGTTAACAGTTCAGGTAATTAAATAAAGTCATTTGGCAAGTCAATAAGATTGCCAGAATTATCATCTGTCTGCCAATGTTATACAAGGCATTTGGTCTACACACAATAAATAACATGTTGACAGATTTTTGCTTGATTTTATTTTCATGTTAAAATGTCTTCTAAACTGTATCTGTTGTACCATAGCCATTTTATCCTATAAAGCAAAGAAAAATTAAAAATGAAAGCATCATTGCAGGAATTAGTATTAGTCTTTTGGAGACTGTGCTGTGGAATTTTGGAGATTCAGAAATTTAGAGGACATCATGTTTTCTCTAATTTATTGTGGCCTTCAATTAGGATGGACATTAATTAGTAGCATCTGGTTATCTCATAAATCAACTGGAGCCGGTGGTTGCTGACAGAGTATGATGGTGTTCTTGGTACCTCACTCTGCTAGTCATATTTCCAAATTTTGTGCACACAAATTGTGACTCTCCTTTTTTGACACATTTCAACACAGACACAAATCAGCAATGTATTTCCGTCTCTACTGTTCACATTTCTTCTCTACTGCTAGCTCTAAACCAAATATTCAGGAAAATGTTACATGCCATATTGCTACTACAGTAACAATTCTTAGATACAGATGGCATGGTCAGTGGTTCAGAGTGGTGGTTTTTAAGCCAGGCTGCTAGGTTTCCAATCTGAGATCTTCTAAGTGGTCCATTAATTTTTTTCTTTCTTGGTTTCTTTGACTTAAAAATGAATGTATCCTTACTGCATTTGGTATAAGCATGTTCAAAAAGAATTGACAGGCAGAGGAGCACAAGCGCATATATCCTTATTACACAATAGCTGCATTCTATTAAACATTTTGATCTGCATTGTGAAGATGCTGTTCACCAAAAGATTGGGGCTACTTTGGGCAAATTGAGACTACAGAGAACAAGTTTTTGATACACTAAAGTTATCTATAAGACTAAGTCTCTCAAAATGTTTTAGTTCTGTTTTTCAATAGGAGGCTCATGCTATCTAGGCACTTTTCATGAAGAAAAATGATATTGCTACATTAAAGGATGAAGTTTTACATACATATGATTTACAGCCTTTGGCTTGATCTCAAGACAAATAGTTCAGTGATACCAATAAATAGTGTCCAAAAGCACAAAAAACATTTATGCACTAAATGAGGAGAGAGGGGCTAAAAGATGAATAATATGAAAGACTTTAAAGAGTAGGTCAGAAGAATTTGTCCACTGTACATATTTTACTGAGAAGTTTCTCACTTATCTTTTTGTTGGCTTATCTAATTAATACTATAATGTACATGAGGACCAATTGTAGAAAGAAATGAAAAGTTTAATTATAAAGCATGACATGATATGTTTCTAGCACTGATATTTGCTTTCATGTTTGGAAAATATCATGTTATTTATTTCTTTGGTGTGAACTCTGTCCTAATTTTTAAAAATGCCTTAATTTGAAAGAATGTAAATGAGTGACTCTACATGACAAGTTATTTGTTTTTCCTTGAGTACCATATTCTTCTCTTTACCTTAACTATTCCCTACCTCACTCTGCTCCTCATCCCAGGAAATCTAGTATGTTGTCAGGTAAAATAATTTTCTTGTAGATGATCCTTAAGGATTTTTAAAAATATATACGAGCCTTAAAAACATTTCTCCAATGTTTACTTTTAAAAAAATTTTGTATTTAATAGAGGGACATAAGAAAAGAAGAAATACAATTCATGAATTTAAAAAGTCAGCAAAGACTACCCTAATCAAAATAGACCCATCACTGAAGATAAAAACCAAAAAAGTGAATACTGCAGACGAATGTGCTAATAGATGTACTAGGAATAGAGGACTTCCATTCACTTGCAAGTAAGTTACTTCATTTTGTTCTTAGAATAATTTTCCAAATATAGCATGCATTTTAATCATGTGTATTTTGTGTTGTAGTCAACGTGATTTGATCATAAAATTTTAAGTTTGACTCTAGATTTAACTCAATTCAAATGAAGACTTAGCTCTCAGTTTAGGGAAGCATAGCTTGAGTAAGGAAGAGTGCAAAAACTGCTATCTTCTAAAATGCACAGTGGCTTTTGTCATGGAATTTGTTTTCTCATCTCACAAACAATTGAATTTGAGAAACTAAAATGAAATTCAATTGGCTTTGATCTCCCTAATATTTTAAAATATTCAGAGTAACCTTTTCTTTTTCCTTGCAAGAGAAATGGAGGAATTTTTAGAACAGAAATTGGGCAGCAGCCAAAATTTACTGCAACTTTATTATATCATTGCTTTAAGGGATTTAAATAAAAGGTGTTGAGAGAATTAGTTTAAAAATTAGAGAGATTGGTGTCAGCAGAGGCTGTTTAAAAGAAGAGGCTAGCAATGACGAAGTTTCAGGTGAAAATTGATGGGGCAATTTAAAGCGGCATGAGGGGACTTAAATGGAGAGTTTCATGTCTTTTGGCAGTCCTTGTGTGACCTCATAAGGAAGAATTCCTTACTACAGGGGTCCTCTACCTCCCCACCCCCACCACTAGTCTGTAGCCTGTTACGAACCAGACCTCACAGCAGGAGTAAGTGGCACGCCAGTGAGCATTACTGCCTGAGCTCCACCTCCTGTTGGATCTGCGGCATTAGATTCTCACAGTTGTTGAACCCTATTATGAACTGCGCATGCGTGGGATCTAGGTCGGGCACTCCCTATGAGAATCTAATGCCTGATGATCCAAGGTGAAACAGTTTTATCCCAAAACCATCCCCCCTCCCCTTTCCACCCCTCTCTCTCCACTCCCTTGGAAAAAGAAACCAGTCTCTGGTGCAAAAAGGTTAGGGTCTAATGCCTTACTACTTTGCCAGTGATCCCAAAGGATAAAACTTTTTGTCTTGGGCTAAGAGGATGACAATTTCATTTGAATCGTCTCCTAAACTATCAGAAAAAGACGCATTTTTTTAGTTCTTCATTATCTTCCTTCATTTATTTCCCACTCTTTCATTTCCTATTTTATCTTTTTTTAAACAGGGTCATGCATAAAATCCTGTACATATTGAATTCTACTCAATTACATTTAGGTATTGACACATAATGTGAACACAGGGGTTAGTAATGTCATGGCAAGCAGTCTTAATTTCATCTTGCCTTTTTCAGAGAAATAAATGTTATGGGCCTAGGAGGAAAGAGCATTGTCAGAAAAGATCTTTATCAGCTTTAGGCTGAGGAAAGGCTATCTGCTTTCAATTTTTACAGTGAAACTGCCAATTTCAGGGAGATAGCTCTTGGCAAGGAAATTGGGAATTGACTTTGCAAGTATATTCGTATGATAATACCGTCTTATTCCCTGACTTCTCAGTGAAAGCCTTAATATTGTTAACAATAGAGGCAGCTACTCCCAAACAACATCTCAGCTGTGTAGATTCATGGGGATGTTCCAGCAGTTGAGGAGGATGGAGTTGTATTTTTCCCCTCCCAGAGTTGGAAGGGTGGGGAAAGGGAAAGAAAGGACACCTCATTGCTGATTTTTAACTTTGAAAATAAACTGCCTTGGACTCACAAGTTAAGGAAAGTATTGATACCACTCAGTTTTCACATCAGTCAACGTTATGCTTAGGAAAGAAAAACTTTACTGTTGTTTTATTTAGTAGGAACTAAAATGATTTTACTGCACTGGAGAAAACATTAATAAATTACTAGGTGCTCACATATTCCATATATATGAAGTTTCATACCTTCCTACCATATTTTGGTTGAGTTATATTTTATCTCCAAATTTATGGCAACCTGTGCAGAAAACCATAGGTAATATTATGTATTAGAGCCAAGATTCCTTGGCCCAGCAATGGTGAAATCCTCCTCATTTTCATACAACACACACACAGAGAGATACGTATTTAACTAAGTATTAAATATGTTAGCTATATAGAATTGAATGAACATACTATGATACTATGAACTTAGGGTCTTAATGAATCAAAGAATGTGGTTTGTAAACTTGTTATATAAAACAGAATCATTTAAAAACCACTTCTAGAATACCAAAAAGTGTGCGAAAGCATCTGTGAAGTGAATGGGTGTGAGGTGGAACATTCTTAAATACTGTTTTTTCTTAAGAAGATATCAACAATATTAATTTTCTAGAGATTTGAATTCATCTTTGCTGGGTAGGAAAGATGAACAAGAATGCCTGATTCTAAGCACTTCAGGAAATTGCTCATTCATGAATTCAACTTAAAAGAAAGAGATAGGAAGCTTTCCTCTTTTAACCATGACTAAATGGCTAAATTTCCAGGTACTGGAATTGCCTTCCGGCTATAAACAACTAGGAAATAGACAAAATAAGCTGTTGAAAAGAAGATTACAGCTAAAATGATGTTAAGATAAAGACACAAAAAGTCAAACCTAAAAGAAGACGCAACTCATAGAATCTAATGGCTTCCGCCCACTTTATAGGGAGGTGTAAAACAATATTAAAAAACACTTAAAGAATTTGTAATTGTATTGGAATGAGAGAAAAGAACGAATGAGATAAGTAAACTGGAAATCCCGTTACCCACTTTACAGATGGAATCACTTAAAAACAAATTTATCACTTTTTTGAGTATATATCATTTTGTTATATACTTTCACTGAACAACAACAAAAAACTGATATAATACTTAGCTATAGGAATAGTAGAGGTGGCATATTTTAGTAACTTTCTTTGAGATGCTATATCAAAAAGATATTCTCAAATATTACTAGTTTTTTTCAATTAAAAATCCTTATGTAAGCAAACCTATTTAGGAAATATTAGCTTAGTTATCCTCAAGATTTTCAAAGCTTATTTTAATAAGCTGCAATGTTTTATAATTCACCAAAAAAGGTACATTATATGCAAAAATTTCCAAACACTTGATTGATCTAACGCACCTTAGAAAATATCATTTTAGAATATATTTTTTACAGTTACACATTTTGAGAATTAGTCATATCTCAGATATAACTGATATAACTGAAATATCTCAAATTAATACCATTTTTATACAACTTCACATAAAACCTTCCAACTTGCTGTGGGGTTACAGAAAATAAAGCCCTCTGAAATAATTCAAATACTTGTGTTACGTATTGATTTTACATGTTAAACCTGTTATTTTTCTACAAGTCTTTCAGAATAACATGAGAACATTCCAAAGAGTATTCAATCTGATATTTAAATATGCTCCTACAAAACCTTAAGTTTGTTCTTTCTTGTTTGGCTATCAACATTGTAGATTCAAATTTTACTCATATTTTTATTATGTATATGTAAATGCATTCGTTTTTATATTGTCCTCCTTGGTGAACCATGTGCCCATTCTTTAAATACTGTATAAGTAATAGTATTTCTTCTTTTCATTCTGATATTTTTTTTCAGGGCTTTTGTTTTTGACAAAGCAAGAAAACGATGCCTCTGGTTTCCCTTCAATAGCATGTCAAATGGAGTGAGAAAAGAATCTGGCCATGAATTTGACCTCTATGAAAACAAAGGTAACTGATTTCTCCCTAAATATTGCATAATGAAATAAGGTATAATGAAATGTATGTTTGTAATTTCCTTCAAGAGTGGTCTTTCCAACTGATTTTTCTAGTATATATGGGATATTTTATGTAGTCAATTCATCCATTAAGACAATTGAAACTAGTATCTTGACTATTTTTAATATGGCACTTTAAAGAGAGCATTTTCTGAACTTTTTATAATCTAGACTCCTCCTTCCCTCTTTTTTTTTTTTTGTTTTTGGAGCATTTCCTAGAACTAGCATTCTCCATGTTCATTTTAGAAAGTGCTACTTTAATTCATTAGTTTAGAGTACTTCATGTTACAGCAAATTTTGAGTTTGCTACAATATTTTACATTTAACAAGATTGGATAACTAAATTTTAGCAATGTTCACTGATAATAACAAAATATGGAGATTCTGGAGAAATGAGTTGGGACTATGTTTCATGATATACTTGAAGAACATCTTTAAAGAAGGAATTGAGACCGTGTTACTGGTTGATTGCCTCTTCTGCTGGTCTGATATTGTTTTCACTAGGTGTTTACTTTGTTCAAAAGCAAAATCAAGCAAATCAAATAACTGAAGAATGTTAATCAACTGTGTCATATTACATTTGGATAAACAATATGCTACAATATATAGATGTTTTCAAGTTAATAGGGTAAATATTTAAAGAAAATTAAACATAAATTCATGGTAGAAATAAGATAATCTTTACATACCTCAATAATACTACAAATCCTAAACATAATTCATGATCTAGTATAAGACTATTCTTACTTCAAACTCTCTTCTAGCTTGCTAAAAACTGCATGTACTATTATTTGGTAGGAATATATATAGGTTATTACAATTTGGTTGTCCTATCACTTAGCAGCAGAAATGTTTGCAAAAATATGGAAAATAATAAGCAAGCTACATCATGCATATACATATATAAACAAAACCCACAGAATTTTAATAAGAAGGACAAATTATCTTAAGTAATTTTTGAATTCAATGTAGGTTTAAAAATTACTTAATTTTTGTTTTTAATATTTTCTTTTCTTTTTTTTTTTTTTGTGATGGAGTTTCGCTCTTGTTACCCAGGCTGGAGGGCAATGGCGTGATCTCGGCTCACCGCAACCTCCACCTCCTGGGTTCAGGCAATTCTCCTGCCTCAGCCTCCTGAGTATCTGGGATTACAGGCACGCGCCACTGTGCCCAGCTAATTTTTTATATTTTTAGTAGAGACGAGGTTTCACCATGTTGACCAGGATGGTCTCGATCTCTTGACCTCGTGATCCACCCGCCTCGGCCTCCCAAAGTGCTGGGATTACAGGCGTGAGCCACTGCGCTCGGCCTGTTTTTAATATTTTCTTAAAATGGTCTAGATATTTGAGCAAATCATAATTGCTTGGCTAGCTGAGTATACAGATGAGGAGACTAATCTCTAGTTATCTATGCATATATACACAAAATTAAAACTTCTCAATCATCTGATTTGGATTATTCAGAAATGTGTTATTTTGAAAATACTAGTAGAAGGTTTAGGCAGGAAATTTCAATGTTATTTGAAATAGTTTTCAAGAGTTGATTGCTTATAGTACGAATGGAATTTTATTTTTTCTTTGATAAATACAGCATGTGTTTTGCATAGTTGCAATAATTTTATCTGTTTTCTTCAATAGACTACATTAGAAACTGCATCATTGGTAAAGGAGGAAGCTACAAGGGAACAATATCTATCACTAAAAGTGGCATCAAATGTCAGCCCTGGAGTTCCATGGTACCACACGAACACAGGTAAGAACAGTATGAAGAAAAGAGGATGGAGCCTCTGTCTTTTATATGTGTTAACAGTCTCATATTAGTCCTTATCAGAATAATTCTACAATTGTAGAATAATTTACCCAACTTTGCTGAATTGTATTACAGCAAGGTTTATACAAATTTTGAAATTTAGCAAATGATTGATTAATATGTTAATAAAATATGGCCCAAACAATATCTTAACTTAATGCCTCAATTTACAGGTCTCGGTATTTGTGAAATAATAATGTAAACTTCATTCAAAAAGATTCTCTTTCTGTCTTTGAGAAAGTACACCACTGTGCAGCTGGAGAGGTTGACTGAAAATTTGGTGGTAGACAAGATTCTTACCTTACTGAGGGCTGAGGGTTCTTTAACCTTGGTGGATCCCAACATTTGTTGCTCATTAAAATCACTTGCTGCAAGCCCTTGAGGAGTCTTACTTAGAAGATGACAACACAGAGTAATTAAATCAGAATCTCAGGGGAGAAGAGGTACCAGTATTTTTTCAGCTCCCCCCATGGTTCCAAAGAGCAGCCAAAAATTTGAGAACCACTGCTCAAAGCTCAGGCTTCAGATTGACTAGCTTTTCCATTTCACCTATTGCCTAACGACCAAATAGGATAAACGTGTTCATTACAACAGATGGATACTGTTTAAAGATGAGTAAATGCAATATCCTTTGGCTCGTCAGACTGAGAGTTTTAATCATCACTAGGAAAATGATTGATACCTAATACTGACTGGAGTATTAGTCAAGGTGTATTTCACACACAATTTTATCAGAAACCAAAGTAGTTTAAAATAGCTCTCTCCGTGGTGGTAATGCATTGGGGAGTTTACTTTACCATGTACCGCGCTGAGCAATATACCTCATTAATCTCATTTACTCTTCATAAGAACCACACAGTGGGTAGTTTTATTAGTTTCATTTTACCTACATGGTGAAACTGAAGCATAAAAACACTTAGTAAGTTTTCAGTGTCATGCACAACTAGGAAGTGGCATGGCCAGAATATCAGCCCAGTCACCATCACTCTATAACCTCTGCTTTTATCAACCTTAGGGCATGAAACACTTGGCCTATCAGTATAACCCATGATGTGATTTGTTTTTGCAGTGGTGGTGATGACTACCTTGTTGAATCCACTTTTTATTATATTCCATTTTGGGGACATAATTCTGCAAGATGATTCTACATTAGGAAACAGAAATGTGTTAATTGACCAACTCAGAAAGAAAAAGAGTTTGTTGCTCCACACTAGGATTAAATCTATGATCTTTGCCTAATTAACACTAGCTAGTAAGTGTCCAAGCTGATCAGCTCTACAACATTTCAATAACAGAAAACAACAATTTTCAGAAATTAGTTACTTGCAATTATGTAGAAATGCCTCTAAAACATAGCATTTTAGTTATACTACAAAAACAAACATTATAATTAGCTTTGTCCTCTCTTGAGAGTTTGCATGGTGTTACTCCCTGCATAGTGGAAAAAAACATTTTATTTAAGTAGGTGGTTCTAAGTTTTTCATGAACAAAGGAATATCATTTGAAATCAATCTGACCTAGTCCAGGAGAATGCATTGGACTGACCTAGTAGAGATCTTATTTCACCCTAAGTTCTCCATGATTGTGATTCTCTGCTGGAGGAGTAAACGTGAAATAGATCTCCCTGGGAACTGGCTTCCCAGTTCAATCAGCTATTTTGCCAGTGAACACTTCCTTGTGATATAGATGTTTATGACTGAGAGGATCCAGTCTATTAATCAAATTCTTTTTTGTATTCAACGAGGACAACACTTAATTTTCATCAATTAGCAGCTTATTGGAATATCAGCATGATGGCTTAACACTTTAAAGTGTTGACTAAAGATTAATTGTACAAAAAATAGAAAAAGAAATATGCTTCTTTCTGGAGGAATGATTTATTGTTGACCCCTAAATTGAAATATTTTGCAAGTAGCTTAATGGAAAGATGATGATAGATGATGAAATTAGTATAGAAGCTTAACCAGAAAATCAGGTGACCTGATATCTACATCTGTATCCTTCATTGGCCACCCAGCATTCATTAATGAATCAGATGATGGAATAAATCAAGTTTCCTAGGAACACAGTGAATATTAAAAGAAAACAAAGGGAGGCTAGCACCTAGAAGATCTAGTTTATATTTCAAAGTATATTTGGATGTAACCCAATTTTAAACATTTCCTCACGAATCTCTCTTAAAACCTTGCCAACAGCAAGGACAGAGAACCAAAGATATATGTGAATAAATGCTTATTACAGAATCTGCTGACTGGCACAGGCTTTGTGTGTAATAGGTTCTCATGAACACCTGTTGAATAAACAACCATAAGAGAAAGAGCAGAGCTCGGCTTCATTTCTTGGTCAAATAGTGGGTGCTAAAGAAAAGCAGGTGAAACACGTTGGGACACACACACGCAATCGTGCGTGCGCATGCACGCGTGCACACACCCACACACCAACCAGTTAATTTAGGTAAAAGGTAAAATACAGCAAAGAATGAAGAAAAGAGATGACCCAGACTGCTCTTTAACCTTCACGTCCTAGAGAGGAATTTGATATGGATTGATTCAGAATTGTGGAAGGAAGCCCATCTTTTCTCTTCATTTTAATTTTATTAACTCCAATGAGGGAATTTTATTCATCTTTTGGCCATATGTACTTTTGATTTCTACATTATTCTCTCTTCCTTTCTACCTGTATTTTTCCTAATAAATTGTTGACTGATTAATTTACTACTTTGCAGCTTCTTTTTGGTTTTACAAATCCACTGGAAAGGTGTATGTATGTGTCACTCTGTGTATTTTGGTGTGCATGTGTAGAGGGGTCAAAAATCCTCTCTCAAACTATAAATCTTGAGTATTTGTATATTGAACATTTGCTATAACTACTAGGTTTCTTAAATAATCTTAATATATAAAATGATATAGAAAAGGGAAATTATAGTTCACTCTATTCATTTAAGTGAAGAAATTAAAACCCAGAGAGTAAATTATTTGTCTAAGGACTAAGGTCATATACTATTTAGGTGACAGATATGGGGCAACCATATGGGTTTTATGATTAATAATAACTTCTTACCTCTCTATTGTATCACCTTTTTTCTATAAAATAGAGCTACAGTATACTTTGCTTAAATAAATTTGATTGGTGCATGATTGCTTGAAAACATGTAAAGCAAAAAAGTCACTTTTGATTCTGTCAGAAAAGTATTTTTATAAAAATTTATTACAAAAGGTTGAAGAAGTGTTTAAAATGAAAGAAAACAAATTTTAAACCATGGCCCAAACAAAAAATGCACTGAACTATTCTGGAATGATGAAGCAAAAAGTAAGAAAAATGACTTTTTAAAAAAGTTTACTGTTAGAAATTGTGAAATCATGCTGAATTTTAGTTGCATTATATTTTTTGTCAGTCATATGGTCTGACAACATGTCTTATTTCTATTTCTCCATATTTAGAAAGCTAGTGAAGTAAGGATATTAACTATTTAAACACGTTGAAGTTGCATAATGTCGATAATGTTTAATTGGTTCTCTGAAAATGTTTAGTTAGTAAGTCTCTTAACAATATTTGTTTGGACCAATAGTTTATATTTTTTGAAGACTTAACTTTAGAGTATACTCATGTCAAAATGAAAGAATTTAATTGCAAAATATTGCTTGGTACATGACGCATATCTGTATTTGTTTTGTGTCACAATGTGAAAAATGATAGTTTATTAGAAGCTTCATTGGATAGTAAACACATTTAAATGATACTTATATTTACTAAGAGACTAAAATCCTTGGACTTCACTCTAATTTTAGTGTTGTCTAGAACTCAAGGTCTCAGTAAAAGTAGAAATAAAGCCTTTATAGCAAAACCCAAACTGAATATTAAAAATGTAACTGGATTTTCAAAAAAATGTTTACTGGTATTACCTATGGATGTATATTCTTTATTGTGATCTTTTGTGTAAAGTCTGGCAGACAAATATAATATCCAATTGTTGAGTCCAATATCACAAGCAGCACAAAAGTATAAAAAAGACTTGGGCTTTTCTGATGTGTTAAAACACTTTATGCTGGTCACAAAACTATGAGTAGGGCACTCGAAATTTTAAGTGAAGGTAATGTGTTGCAGTTACTGCACCCAATGGCTTACTATTATAAATCAAAACTGGGATCATTAAGCTTCAGTCAGTCAAAATGATCAAAATTATTGAAGAGAATTAGCAATTCTGTTCTTTATTAGGACAGAGTAGATATAGACTACAAAGTAGAGTGTGCTTAATAAGGGGTAGCACTTGTTAAGCGTCAATTACTCTATCATCCCTTGGAACTTCTCAAAATAACCATATAAGGTATAAGATGTTATAGGTTATGGTTATACTCAGTGCACAGGTAAGCTAATAGGCTGAGAGAAGCTAAATTACTTGCTGGGGTCTCACAGTAAGAAAGCGAGCTCAAGTTTGAACCCAGATTTAATTGGATTCTGGGCTATTCATGTTACTTAATCAATCTGTTTCTCAATTGTGCAGAAAAAAGGGGGCTATTTAAGAAAAAAAATAAACAAATAAGTAATGCAAGAAATAGATTTCAAAATTAGTGGCAGTGTTTTCTCAGTTCTCTCTTAAGTGGCCTCATTCAATCACCTGCTATCTTTGAGTGGAGCTTTGAAATTACATTTCAAACAACATTGATTAAGTTCTGGAATGTTTGGCTCTTAGCAAATTAAGAGGTTAATCTTTCTAACTTGATGTTAAATATGGAAGTTCAGCTAAACGGATGTTAAAATTCAAAGATTTTAAGAATAGATGGAAATGACAGAATTTAAGTTAAAGTATATTAAGGTATATAAGGTAAAATAAATGATTTTTCTACTTTCAGCAAAAACATACCCACTAAATAGTAAAATTAATAGACCCAAAAGGTTGCATGCTCTTATTCTGTAATGATTATCATTTTAAAACTAGCTTTTTGCCTTCGAGCTATCGGGGTAAAGACCTACAGGAAAACTACTGTCGAAATCCTCAAGGGGAAGAAGGGGGACCCTGGTGTTTCACAAGCAATCCAGAGGTACGCTACGAAGAATGTGACATTCCTCAGTGTTCAGAAGGTAAATAAACCTGAATGCCAGGTGGGGCATTCTACTCCCGCTATGTGTAGAACTGTAACTCACATTAAAGGTTAACAGAAATGAATCAGTCATAATAAATGTGTTGTTCATGCAAATGCAGCTGCAGATGATTATTTAAACATTTTTATACAATGTTTTTAAAACTGTCGGATTATCACCAGATTAATGCAAAATAACAGAGCGAGTTATCAGTTTGAATTTCAACACTGCCTGAGACATCCCTCTGGGGAAAGTGACAGAGCGGGTGTACTTACCTACTCTCTTGAGCTCACATACCTCAAAATCTCCTCCAGTGTGGTACCTGAAAGGAATTGAATGAAGTTTAGCCTTTCCTTAGCAATGTTAATTCTATTCATCCAGCACCTGCTTCCACAGAAATGTTGTCAAAACTACTCTGAAGTGGTGTGACAAGGGTATATGGACCCAGAAGAGAATGCAGTATAAGAAGGGATCACTGGAAGTTTGACCCTATGCACGTTTGGGTGAAAATGTGCCTAGAATCAAATGTGACACATAGACTGGAACTGAGTACCGTTCAGAATAGGATCTGAAGAGATCAAAGCAATGGATCCCAAACTCTCTTGAAGGCAGGCACCTTAAATCCATGCCTGTATTTTCACCTCTTCTCACAGCATAAAAGGGCATTGTCCTTACTTTTGCAGTGGAAAACTGAATGGCTGACAAGATGGAAGAGTCATCATTTCAGCATTGTATGTGGTTTCACTTTTCTTAGTTATTTGGCTACTGAATAGCTGGATTTTTCAGTTCTGTCAGAAACTCTAAATTTCCAAAAATCTAAGTGAAACATGGATGAAACTGTTAGAAAATTATTAAGATTTTGAAGTATTTGGGGATGGGGACTACTGGAATGCTGTCCAAGTTTTATACTAAGGTATCTTACCTATTTGTTCTCAATCAAATATTTTAAAATATATTTTATTCATTTAATATTAGGTTGATATTTATCACATAACAAGTAAAGGCTATTGTTAGCTAATTGTCACAGAGAAGGATTTGTTTTCTGTTGTTAGTGAATTTTAAACCCTTGACTTTATGTGCTAGAGCCAGTTCCATCTCTGTTTGTAAATTCTTACTTTCCATTCCATATCATATTCTGTTCCCTATAACTTCTTCATTGTTTTCTTTTCTTTTAAAAATAATAAACTTTTCTATGACCACGTTATGAACAAGTCTGTTTTGTATGAATAAGTCTGAATGAATTAATATTTGTCTTAAACTTGCCCATGGAAGAAAAAACCCGACTTTTAGGGGAATCTCTCCTATTCCAGTTTTCTGAGGTTGAAAAATCATTGGAAAGGGGTTTTGTTTATAGGTTTGTTTGACCTTAAAAAAGTGTTTTCAAAGGCTGGTACCTTGGCCAAACTTTAAACAGCTTACCATTTTCATTACCTGCCTGGTTCTTATGAGAATATGATTTTTCAACTCTGGGTTTATAAGAAAAACGTTCATCAAAATATACTTATATACGACTGGACTGCTAGGTGACCTGGATTAAAAGTGCTAGAAAAGAAGCCCTTGAATAAATCCTATTTGCAGTTACTCTTATCTCATTAGAATGTAACTCTCTAGTAACCTGTAATAATTTGAGGTCATCATACCTCCCTTAGGGCGTTGCTCATTGGTATTAATAGCACATGATGCTATTGGTCACCACGGCACTAAAGGATGCAGATACATTCTTTCTGGAAATAATTAGTGGCCTGACAATCGTGGAATAACTCTCCTGTGGGAAAAGGGAACCAACATCTGCCATGTAGGTTAAACATATTTCAGAGAGTATGAGTTAAACTGTGGTATTTTAAATTCAGGCTAACACAAACAATGTGTTAGCAGGATTTTAATGAAAAAGATAAAAAATAAGAAGCATTGTCAAAACTTTGGCAGAGAAAAAGAGTTACTTATAAAACCAATAATATAAAATATACAAAATAATGTAGACATGATATAAATTTCTTCTAAAATACATATATAAGGGGGAAACCTCAAAAGCCAGAATTCTTAAATAATATAATAGATGGGCCATTTCTAACCATGGATACTAATTAAATGGTAAGTTATAAAGGTTGTTTTATTATGGCTGAGGTAGCAGCTATAAAATCATTTTGCATATTTAAAATTAGAAAAGAAAAATACCTGTGATTAAACTTTGGACTGATCAAATGAAAAAGATATATGGAACAGTATATATTTTTTGAAATGTTTGTAACTATGCTTAAAACATGGCTACATAATCACCTGAAATCTGTTTAAAATTTTGGATCATAAAAGAATTGTATCTGATAGTCAATGATTAATATTATTTTCTTATAATTTAAAATTTTTAAATATAGCAAATATTCTAAAAGAAAAATATTCTTTTATCACATTTATCACTTTTAAATTAGGAATAAGTTCAATAGATCTATTGCATGAATGGTGGCTATAGTTAATAATATGATATTGTATATTTTAAAATGCTAAGAGACTAGGTGTTAAATGTTCTTATCACAAAAATGCTATGTGAGGTAATGCATATGTTAACTAGATTTATCAGCAATGTATATACACTTCAAACATCATGTTGTACATGATAAATATGTATACTTTTATTGGACAATTTTTAAAAAGAACCTTATATAGTTATACAAATAAAATAAGTAGTGCTTGATTCTAAAGTTATAGAAAGTTGAGGTATGTAAAATCCAATTTTTTGCTTTAGGGTTTGCTTGAAATTTAAAATAAAACAATCATTAGTCACTGGAACAGATGTCATTTCTGATGATTGTCAAATGATCAAGTAAATATATTTTAATTGTCATAAATTTAAAAAATACATTTAAAATCCCAAATAATACTGACATAAGTTAATGTATATAATTTGATACTCTATGTGAAGAAAGACTTTTAAAAGCAAAGATTAAATGGCAAGTTATAATTTATTTTTAAACTTGTATTTATATATGTAAATTTGTGAGATGATTTATATTTTAAACATTCAGTTTTGTTGAAGTAATCACTGCATGGATTTTTCTGAGAGACTGTTTTTAATGGAATAAAACAAACACTAATTAAAAATAGATTCAGATACTTTCAAAATAATTGTTTTATTCTGTATACTCATGTTACTCCTGTTTTATGACTGAGAAAAATGGAACACATTATTTTAAAGTTTGGTTTGTTAGTATGGTGAGAAACCTGTTAAATTAATCCTATGTGTTTTATAATTTATATATAGTTTTTGTAGTATTCTACTATTATCTTGTCCAGAACCATACTTAGAAAAAGTATTGAGCTGATAAACAGAAACCATTACTCTGTGAGTTTTTGTGATCTAGGGCAGTAGTTTGCTTTTTTAAACTTATTTTTAGGAGAAGAACTTTCTGGAGCAGTTAAATAATGTATTGACAGCAATAGAAATAGCCAAAGGACATCCCTCACCCCCTTACACTGTTACATAGTTTATATGTTCACCTGTTTCCTTGAGTACATAAACTTGGTTTCACCTGAACTGCTTGACCTCAAGAAAATTTAGAAGAGGCCAAGAATTCCCAGTTTGAAAAGTAAATATGAGTTAAAAATTTGGCTTTGTTGAGATAATTCTTATGACTAACCTGATGGTTTGATTCCATGGTAAAACAGCCAACTTTTCAGCCACTGACTTTGGATAAGGTATTTCCATGGCCACTTTCCCTCCAATGCTGCAATAGATGAGACCACAACAGGAGAGCACATTAACTATTGTAAACAAAAAGGCAGAGTACAATGAGGACAATGTTGAAAAGGACAGGGATACCAACTTTCTAAAATTATTACTATCAGTATATCACAAAATATAAACAGTTAAAATATGTAGGAAATAAGTTAAATATGTAAAACAAAAAGGCTTTTTGGGATAATGCAAAGAATAGTAAGACTATGGGTCAGAAGATTTGTGTTCCAGGCTCAGGTTTGACGTTTTGTGTTTTAGGTAAGTCTCTTAAAACTTGTGTGAGCCTTGTTTTCCTCACTGTAAGAATCAAATGAGACCTATCATGTTTTCATGTTTCTTTGTTTTTTTTTTTGGAGACAGAATCTTGCTCTGTTCCCCAGGCTGGAGTACAGTGGTGCCATCTTGTCTCACTGTAACCTCCAACTCCTGGGTTCCAGTGATTCTCCTGCCTCAGCCTCCCAAGTAGCTGGGACTACAGGCACATGTCACCATGCCCAGGCTTGTCTTGAACTCCTGACTTCAGGCAATTCACTCACCTTGGCCTCCCAAAGTGTTAGGATTATAGGTGTGAACCACTGCGCTCAGCTGATACCTTTTATGTTAAAAGTATGTTATAAACCAGCAAATAATATGTAATTATAATATATTTAAGCATCTCAATTCTATCACGGCATGTTAAATTCCCACCTCAACAATAACTTTCATTGTTTTCTAAAATGTAACATTATTCTTGCTAACTTTTATTTATTTATTTTTATCTCCTTAGGCCCATGACTGCAAACATAACTCTCTTCACTTTACTACCAACATAGCATACTTATGCTTCTGATTTTATGTTATTTTTTCCCTTTATAATTTATCCAATTCTCATCCATTCAAGGTCCCAGTAAAATCTAGTCTCTCCTAAAAAAACCATTACTTCCAAATACTTAGAACTTTGAGAATAGATCCCGTTATCTAGAAAGTTGCAAAGTAAAGTGAGGTCCGAGCACCAGCAGCAGCAGCAACCCCTGGGAGCTTGTTACTAATGTCCCAGCCAAGAACCACTGACTATGAATTTGCCTCTTAGTAAGATCTCAAGGTGGTTTTTATGCACATTCATGTTTGAACAAGCATTGATCTGCTACACTCATAATGCAAAGTGGCCATCTTATGGAATCATCAGTTTCATTTATCTAGCTATTTTTTTAATAATATTGCTCAATGTAGTGATTCCCAGAAAATAATTCTATTCACGTCATTAGAAAGGGATATACTATCACAAGCTGCATTTGCTGAAAAAGGCGTAATAGATGTAATCTCTTTGCTGAGTACTATACAAGAGTAGAAATTGTATATGTGAATACGTATCTTTTATATGTGACCATAGTACTCTATTTACATTTCATTCAATACAAAGGAACAAATAGTGATGAATGCTGCATCATTTTCTTTGATAGTGTCAAACTTTGTATTCTTTAAAAAAAAAAGAGAGAACTAAATGAATCTGTTAACCCTTCAAATGGAAAGCTGAGATGTAACATTGCATCACCCATGTTGAGCACTGCAATGGCCTTGGCCAACCTGAGCACCTTTATTGATATGCTCATTTACATTTCAGGGGCTTACTGGCTGTAGTCTGGGGAATCTCAATATCCACTGAGGGGAAGCTGAGTTGGCCTCTTAGCTCATGTTTTAATGTAAATGAAAGAAAGTAGATGAATCAAGCCAAGTTGTTGCATGTTTCAGAAAGTTAATAGTCAATGTCCCTGTTAGATTATAAGAATCAAAGATTCAAAAGTGATTATTCAAATACTATACCCCAAATTACTACAGATACTCTATAGGCTAGATTCCATTGCATAAAACTAAACATTGATGCCTCTTCCCACTTCAACTAAAGTTAGATGATCAGTAATTGTAAGATACAAATGATGTGTTTAAGGAAGTTTGCCTGATTCATAGGAAAGCCAAGCAATGATTTATTCCACAGGATGCTTGCTGTGCTACAAATCAACCTGTCTGTTTGAGAAGTCTCACTTTCAGCAATTGATGTGATTCAGTTTTCAGTGTGCCATAAGAGGCCAGCCAGAAGAGAACAATGAATTAACCTCACAAAATCATCAGTAAGATCCTACCTAATTAGATCAGCTTATACATTTTAAAAAAGAGTGGAAACACGGAGTTCATTAACAGGTCATCTTCTATCCTAAGCCAGATAGAAATGCAAACCTGCCCAACCTATTCAACATGGATGTTCGCTAACAGAAAGGAGCTGTGATTTATTTTTTTTAAATGCCTGCATTCTTTGATTTGTACCAGATTTCTACATGAAGCCAATCTCTTAAATCTATGTGGTCCTGATTATGGCATTAACCATAAAAGTATGACACAAACTCAATTAAACTTTGTAATTCCTGTAAATGTGTTTGGAGGGCAAATTGAGAGAGAAACACTATTGTGCTGACAAAATAGATACTGAGGTCGTTGCATTTTAGATCAACACAGGAAAAATCTCCAAGGATTTGTCTTCTATTTCCATTTTCTAGATACATTTGAGACAGTTATTGAAAAATCAGATAGACAGTATTGTGGCCCTACAGTAAAGTTGTGTGACACTAATTACAAAAATCCCACGTAAACTGTATGATGTGTTCTGTAGGGAGTAGTGTATGTCACTATTTATGGACATTGAGCCCTAATATAAACTTAGAATGATGTGTAGGATTTTCTAAAAATCTGTTTGCTAAACAGGTGTTGTTCTTTAAATGGAACAGTTGTGTTTTTAATTTTGCTGTCAGAAACAATTAATGTGCCATACTTTAATTTTATTAGTTGAATGCTTGATCTGCAACGGGGAAAATTATCGAGGTCTCATGGATCACACAGAATCAGGCAAGATTTGTCAGCGCTGGGATCATCAGACACCACACCGGCACAAATTCTTGCCTGAAAGGTAAATACTAATGAATCATGCTTTCATTGATTCTTTTACAAACCGTTATTCGCTCTATGACACAATGCTGTGGAAATTCTCTTTATATCATGTTTTCCTGATAGGTCATGAACATAACATTTAGAAATCTCAGAATGTTCAGTATTATTCTGACAGAATTTCTGGCCATTATGTTTGGTGGAAATAGTCTAAGCGCAAAGAGATTTAAGATGAGGTATATGAGAACACTGACTACATAGTTAACTGGTCAGAATTTCTGAAATCAGCATGGTCCTGAACACAAAATCATCAGTAGGGTATAGAGTGGAAACACTAAAAGAAGCTTCTTTCTCTCTCAGAGCAGAAACAAAACAAAACCAAAGCAAGGCACAGGGCCAATTCAGTGATGACCATGGTGGCAAGTGTTAGCTGTGGTTTGAGGTATTGCTACTAATCGCAGGAAATCTCCTTCTGAGACTCGGGTACTGCAGGGCAGGCTCATAACAGCATGACGTAAGTGTGCTCAAAAAAAGAGAGTAAAAAGTAGAACAAATCATTCAGGTTGCTTTATCCTGGTGTATTTTGAAATTGCCCATATAAAAAGCCTATTTGGAGACATCAGACAACTAAATCTGTCTTTTTTCCCCAGGAGTAAGTTTTGAGCTTAAATCATTATACCCCAAAAACTCATGTCTACTTTTGCCCATGTATTTTACATGAAACTTTCAAGGTGAAAAAAAAAAAGGAAGAAGTTCCTTTATTTTGATTATAGAGAATAAAAATACAAATAATTACACAGGAAACTCTGTCCCCCACCTTTCTTTGGAAATTACTATTAGGTGTTTTTTCTTTGTTCTTTTTCTTTATCCTTTTTTGTTTGTTGTTATCATTTTAAGTGAAATTAAAACTCCAGCTCATTTTTAAAATAAATGCTTGTCTTGTCATTTAACTGAGAGCAGAAGGGATATGGTAGCAATTAAAATCAAGTCACCAATTCAGGACTCTGTTAATTTGAAGGGAGGTGGGGTGTGGAGAAAGTGGTGTGATGAAGTTTCTCTCATTATCTGGTGAAGGTGAGGGCATGACCTCCAAAGGCTCTATTTCCAAAACTGAGCTGTCATTAGTAACGGCGCTATTGAAACTGAACTTTAAGTTTAAACTTTAAGCCTTCTCCAGAAGAGGACCTGTTTTCTTAATGAGCATTCTACATGAGGTCATGTTTTTGTAATCTGCCCTTAACTGGGTTCTAGGAGAAAGAGACTTGGTTTGGAACCTCACTTAGTGGAAAGGTACCACATGGACTTAACTTATTACCAAGAGGATGACACTCTATCCATAGTGGGATATGTAAATTAGTAGATTAGTCAGTGATCAGCAGTCCTTGTAAGGCAAAACAGAAAATGTCCTCTTTCCCCAACTAGGTGTAGACAACCTAAGTGGAAAGTATTTGTGAGCTGAGGGGTGGGTAGCGTTCAAGGCAGATTTACGTGACACTTTTCTTGGTGTGGTTTGCAGATATCCCGACAAGGGCTTTGATGATAATTATTGCCGCAATCCCGATGGCAAGCCGAGGCCATGGTGCTATACTCTTGACCCTCACACCCGCTGGGAGTACTGTGCAATTAAAACATGTGGTATGTTAAGGTCAAATTTATTGCTTCCTTTTCCTCCCACATACTGGATCTAAGCAGGTGATTATTAGCGAGACAGGTTAACAACTGTTTAACTTGATGCTTTAATGTGTGCAGGTTTTAATATTTTCAGAATGCGTTACATAATCACACCCAATATTTTGCATTTTCAGAGACTGATTATTTTGACAGAAATAAATATGCAAATGCACACATCCACAGAAAAAAATTTCACTTATGGCAAGGGCCCAAACATTCTAATGCTATCAAGAAAATTTTAAAATCCAGGAGAAAAAGACAGGAAATGTGTGCAGCATCAAAAGTCATTAGGATAGTAACAGCTAGGACCTTAGATCCTTACCTTCCAATCCTGTATCCTTTACCTGCCTTTCCTCCCCAGAGACATAGCATGAGCTCTCAACTGATGGTGAGCCTCTTCTGGTGAATGACAGAGGCAGCAATTTAGAATAATAAGTCCAATAGAAGTTTGTCACAGATGTCTCTAATCTCTATAGCTGATCCCAACCTCTCTGGCTGTCTTTGTACCCAGCCTCCATTCTGTTTCAATCTGTCTTGTAGTAATCCCTACAATCCTTTTGCTCTATGCTGGCCCATACCCAGCTTTTCTGAATTCATGATAAAAACTATTTTTTTAAACCTGTTTTGTAATGTTCCTTTCAATCTGTGAACTTGATCCTCTCCTTCATGGTTAAATCACACATTTTTGCTGTTCTATGAAATAATATTAAATAATGTTTTCATTTTTTTGAATACGGGTCTTATTTTTTTCAACTGGATCCTAAAATTCTTTAAACTCAATAGAATTGTGTAAATTTAGTAAGGTATAATAATGTTATAAATTGGCTTGACAATATAAAGTTATGTATATACGGACAGATATATAAAGCGAAATAACCTACATAAGTTCAGGCACCAACACCTAGAATAAAATATACAATTAAGAGGACATGGATTGATTTTTGTATATTTCAATACAGCAGAATGATAGGAAAATTCTGCTGAACAAACCTAATTCAATATTATCCACAGGATGGTATTGCCAAGGTAAATCTCTCTCCACCTAGACCTGCTAATAAAAGGAAATGTTTTAGACAACTCTTAATATTTTGGACAACAGTCCCATAGACAGAGGATGTACCTGGCATATATGAAATTTGTAGAATCTGGAAGCCTTTCAGAGTAAAACACTGTGTTCCAAGGAAACTGAATCATCTATTTTGTACTTAAAAATAAAGGATGATTCATGTGATAGTGTTTCTCTGTATAGATTGGGTTGGTTCCACTCATTGACTTGTTTCATTTTATTAGTCTTTCCATCATTCTACACCAGTTAGGTATAATAAACCAACTGTTTCCCTTCTTCTTTTTTTTTTTTTTAATTTGTGTATGTATGTGTGGTTTAGGTACTCTTATAAATCTTTGCTGGAATAAGACCAGTACAAACACACACACACACACACACACACACACACACACACACACACAGGTTCACCTGCACATTCCCCCTTATACTGGCAAGAAATCCAATGTTGCCCTCCTCTTGAGTTCCAAAACAATCTTTAGAGTAATTTTTTAAAAAGAGATTGAGAGAGGCAAGAAATAGAATGACTACAACACATTCTAGCTATTAAGTAGGTTTCTTTTTTCTCTTCTGTCTAAAAAGGAGTTGGCTAGCTATGCAAATAAGCATGCTAAAATTCCAATGCCTTTGTTAAGCAGAGGATACTGTTTATAGGATATTAAAGTGGAGGAACTATCATTGAAATATAGATGAAATATATATGGCTATAAGAGACAATACTTTTATTAAAGTGTATGAAATAAAGCTGACATTCTGGAAAGCATAAGAGATAATTTATGAATATTCTTTCAAATGTTTTGGTTCACATATATAGTAAAGCATATAATGCAAAACCAAAAATTTGGCAGTGGATTCAATTGTGCTTCTATTTTCTACTGTGGCATAACAAATTACCTAAACCTTAATGTCTAACAACAACACATGTTTATTATCTCATATTTTTTGTGGGTCAGGAGTCCAACCATAACTCAAGTGAGTTCCATGCTGGGGTCTCACAAGGTCCTGATCAAGGTGCCCACCACACCTCTGGTCTCATCTGAAACCACGTTGCATTTAAAGCTTACTAGTTTTGACAGAATTCATTTTCTTGTGGTTCTAAGGCTGTGGTATAAATCTTCCAGAATCTGCCTAACCTTCTCTGACACATGACCCTCTCTACAAGATGGCAGTTTACTTCTTTAAGGCCAACAGGATAACATCTATCCAACTTTGAACTTTTGACCGCTAGACTCATTCTTAAAGAGCTAACTTAATTATGTCAGTCCTGCCTAGGTTTATTTCCCTTTTAATTCACTTATAGTCACTGATTAGGGACTTTAATTACATATGCAAAATCTCTACAACTTTGTTGTATACCATAACCTAATCACAAGAATAGCTCTCATTGTATTCAGAAGTTGTATCCACACCCAATGGGAGAAGGTTATGCAGTGTGAACATCAGTGGGTGGATCTTGGGGACAACGGATGTATTTACTTGTACTGGTTTTAACAGATAATTATCATTTTTTTATTTGTATCATTAGCTGGGCCACTTTTCTAGTTTTCTCTTAGTCCAGTCTAGCAGAACTCATTCTAGATTTTCTGTTTCTAAAAAAAATAATAATGATAATGATTATATCACCTACTCTCTAGAAAGTTGAAGGGGAATTTTTTTAACTCTTGTTTTATTATAGAATAACTGCATTAGAAAACCATAATTATCACCATTGATTTAACACCTACAGAGAGGTGCTTTGCCTTGTAGAATTAACAATCCTTATTTCATTCCTAGCAAATGACTGCAATTAGGCCAGTGAAGAAAGGGGTGAAGACATGGGTGGCTGGAGCAGTATGGTAATTGAAGATGTGGTAAAACGTGATTGATATGGGCAGGGTAGGGGTAAAAACAGAAAACTGAAAGAAGTTGAGAAAAATTAAGTTGATATGAAGCAGATCAGGTAGGACCCAAGAGTAGCTCATTCAGTTGCTAGGAGAAACACTGAAAAATTAAGCAGGGGGAGGGATCTTATCTCACTTGTGATCTAGAATACTGATATCCAAACTGGTGTCCATGAGACCCAGGAAAACACAAAGACTCTCCTCAGGCCCTTTAAGCATGGATCACATAAAGGGCTCAAGTTTCATCTCCTCTTCTCTCATGTGAATTCTTTTTTTTTTTTCTTATTTTTTTATTGCATTTTAGGTTTTGGGGTACATGTGCAGAGCATGCAATACAGTTGCATAGGTACACACATGGCAGTGTGTTCTGTTTGCTTTCACCCCTTCACCCACATTTGGCGTTTCTCCCCAGGCTATCCCTCCCCACCTCCCCCACCCACTGGCCCTCCCCTTTTTCCCCCAATAGACCCCAGTGTTTAGTACTCCCCTCTCTGTGTCCATGTGTTCTCATTTTTCATCACCCACCTATGAGTGAGAATATGCAGTGTTTCATTTTCTGTTCTTGTGTCAGTCAAAGGCCCTAGAAACTGCCTAACCTTCTCTGACACATGACCCTCTCCACAAGATGGCAGTTTACTTCTTTAAGGCTAACAGAATAGCATCTATCCAGCTTTGAGCTTTTGACCTCTAGACTCTCTCTTAAAGAGCTAACCTAATTAGGTCAGTCCTGCCTAGGTTAATTTCCCTTTTATTTCACTTATAGTGAACTGATTTAGGACTTTAATTACATATTAAGGATGATGCATGTGCTTCTCAGAAGTCAGGCACATCAATACCCCTGCCCTCTCACACTGCCGCCCTTTCCTACTTTACTGCACAATGACAACCTTCCCATTCCTCCTGAATGCTACTGTAGCTCATTGTCCTTGTTTTAAAAACCCTGGGGACACTAAACATATATATAGGTGCATGTGGTTAGTGTATGTGTGTATTTTTCTCTTAGAAACTTTTGGTCACAAAAATGAATAAAAAGCTTTCAGAGAAGTATGATGAAGCGAGGAATAAAAGACTATTCAACACAAAATACAACACAGGCCTATAAGGCAGTAAGCAGTGAGACAAACAAGGTGAGGAAGGACTAAAACAATATCAAAAGGGTGGAATGTACAGTATAAAATGACAAATTGATTATACTAGGAAATGGGATAGACAGAAACATCTAAAATATTTCCAAGTTATTGGGTAGATGATGTATATATAAGAGAGGCATTGATTTGAGGAGAAAGATCAGAGCTTTAGTTCTGCTTATATTGAGATGCAGGTGCTTGGCATCCTTGTTCATAGGACATCTAAGTTCATTCTTCTACAGAAGGTCAAGAAAAGTCACAAGTGAGCAGGGATAGCAAAGCCTTGGGCTTCACCAATTCCAGCCAGCATATTGAGAATACAAAGAGGGCTGTTTGCCCCTTTCTCTACAGCATTCATTCAGTAAAATTTTCTGAAAATTTTGTCAAACACTTTTCTAGTAGCTGGGATACAGAAGTGAATACAACAGATCAAGGCCTATAACAAGATGGAAAATTCAGAGCTTTAACACAAACCAGTAAAGCAAAAGATGACACTGCCTTGATATTAGGGTATTCCCACCTGCCAGCCGAAGTTTGAATGCTGCTCTCCTTTTATTTGTTCAAAAGCTGAATGAACTACAGATTTGTTCTTGTCACTTTGCTTCAAACCTTCTATGTTACAATCAGTGTATCACTCAAAGTAAAGAATGAATGTTGCTCATTGTCTAGCAAATGTGTGCCAGGGTGCTCTGGGACACCCTTTTAAGACTTTTCACACTGTAATTCTCAGCAGGGGATATATACCCAAATGTCATCAGCCCACAAATATTTTGTGTATATACTTTTTAACAGAGTTTTGAGCATATGGAATTTTAAGACATCACAAATTTATAAAAGATTGGAAGTCTTGCATAGTGCCGGAATGAAGTCCTGATTTTCTTATTGTTTTCCCTG